TATTAAGGGGTTCCAAACCACTAAATAGCACTAGCAAAATAAATATGTATGCTGATGATATCCTTTTGACACTAGAACAACCAATGTTTTCAGAAGCTCTAGTTCAAGAACTGGACAGTTATTTCAAACACTCGGGTTATAAATTAAACTTCAAAAAATCTACTTTTCTTTTCAAACACTGTGAAAAGAATGTTGGAAAAATTTGCAAAAAAAGGATGGATTAATTTGGGCCCAGGAACACAAGTATTTCGGCACTAAAATTACACATCTCCTTAATGATTTAATAGGAAGTAATTTTCTATCCCATACTAAAGCAAATAAATAAAATATCTGCTTAAATGGATAACATTTTACTTCTCTTAGTGGGGACGAATAATTATCCTTCGGATATACATTCTGCTCACGTAGGTAGTGAGGTCGCCTGACAGGTACTGGCAGGGAAGGGTTTAACAGTGGGTAGTGAGGTTGGCTGATAGGGAAGGGGTCAACAGTCTGTAGGGAGGTTGGCTGACAGGGGCTGGAAGGGAATTTATAACTCGCTTTACGCAAGACACTACTAAGGAGCTTGTCCATGCTCTAGTAATCTCTCAAAGTGGGTCACTTGAATTTTAAGGGTGTGAGTGGCCAGGGGCGGGCTGGTCAGAGTAAAATGTAATTTAGAACAAGATCAATGTATCCTATTTACACAGATTGGTTTCTAAACACATGTATTGTAGTTCAAATACACATTACTGGGAGTATTATTGCTTTGGAGCTCCGTTATACACTCAGACACATTACTGGGAGTATTATTGCTGTGGAGCTCTGTTATACACTCAGACACATTACTGGGAATATTATTGCTGTGGAGCTCTGTTATACACTCAGACACATTACTGGGAGTATTATTGCTGTGGAGCTCTGTTATACACTCAGACACATTACTGGGAGTATTATTGCTGTGGAGCTCTGTTATACACTCAGACATATTACTGGGAGTATTATTGCTGTGGAGCTCTGTTATACACTCAGACACATTACTGGGAGTATTATTGCTGTGGAGCTCTGTTATACACTCAGACACATTACTGGGAGTATTATTGCTGTGGAGCTCTGTTATACACTCAGACACATTACTGGGAGTATTATTGCTGTGGAGCTCTGTTATACACTCAGACACATTACTGGGAGTATTATTGCTGTGGAGCGCTGTTATACACTCAGACACATTATTGGGAGTATTATTGCTGTGGAGCTCTGTTATACACTCCGACACATTATTGGGAGTATTATTGCTGTGGAGCTTATCTCAGAAATTTACAGTATATCTATTAATCAGGATATTCTTTACATTTTTCAGATTCATCCAGAAGCAGGGGACAGCTAAAATGTAATATTAATTGTCCAATTCGCATTGGCTCATCCTCCACCCCCCTTGCCCCCCCTCCCCCCCCACCCCTCAAAAAAAATGTTTGTTCTTTGTTTTCAAAGCTGCTTCCAGGAGATTTATATGACCTGAAATGGATATTTGTGAACCGAAACAAACATAAACAAACTAATCATGGCCCCCAAAAACCCACATTCACAAGTTCAAGCAAAGAATGCAACGACCTAATGAAACAATATAAAAAGAAAAAACATTTTTTTAAAAGATATTCGCATTGTTATAGCTTCAAAAACCCATTGCAAATTAGGGAGAAAGACCACCTGTGGGTCCAACAAGCTGAGAACATCAGTAGTACTATAAGTTACCTTATTTTACTTATAATCAGTAGACCAGAGTAGCCATAGTGAAAGCATAGCTAACTTGAGAATTTTTCCAGTTCAGCTATTTTGACCTTAAAGGGACATTATAGTGACCAAAACACTTGTAGCTTAATGAAACAGTTATGGTGTATAGATCATGCCTCTGTTCTATCAAATTTTCCTACCCGTGAAAATCCCCTACCCTCGTCATTTCCGGTGAGGGGAATCAGCGGGATCCTGTGCTGCACATGCTAGCACTCCTGCTACTCCCCCACAGCAAGGTCCTGGAAGGTAAGTAAAACTAGTTTTACACTTTCATTATAGTTAGTGCATTCACTAAGCTTAGGACATGGGACATTTAGGGTAAATGTTAGGGTTCAAATTAGGGTTAGGATTAGGGACTTGTTCATATTTAGTGATATTTCACATAAGGGGAATATCTATAAATAGTGATTTTTCACGCTTTATTTTAACCCTTACCCCAAGGGTTAGGGTAAGAATAGAGTGTGAGAGAGGTTAGATTCACTTACCTAACCCTAATTTGAACCCTCACTTAACCCTAAATGTCCCGTGTGCCTAAGCTTAGTGAATGCTCTAACTATAATGAAAGTGTAAAACTAGTTTTACTTACCTTCCAGGACCTTGCTGTGGAGGAGTAGCAGGGGTGCTAGCACGCATGTGCAGCACAGGTTTCCAGCTGATTCCCCTCACCGGAAATGACGAGGGTAGGGGATTTTCACGAGGTAGGGGATTTTGATAGAACACCCCTGTGGTTTCACTACTCTATTCTCTGTCATTTAGGAGTTAAATCACTATTGCTTCTATCCATGCAGCTCTAGCCACACCTCCCCTGGCTGTGACTGACACAGCCTGCATGGAGGCAAAATGGTTTCTATTTCAACCACTTTGTAACTTACTTTAAAAGTTTTTATCTCCTGCTCTCTAAAGTGAACATTACTCATGCACAGGACACTCTTGTACGGTCTACCAAGCCTTTAACAGTGCAGGGGATAAGAAATGTTAAATAAACAAAAGTTGCAGTAAAGGTAGTATAACCATTACATGACTCTTTACAGGAAGTGTTTAGGAAGGCAATGCAAGTCACATGCAGGGAGGAGTGACTAGGATTTCATAAACACTGTGATTTAACTCCTAAATGGCAGATAATTGAGCAGTGAGACTGCAGGAGCATGATCTACACAAAAACTACATTAAGCTAGAGTTGTTTTGGTGACTATAGTGTCCCTTTAAACCTAAAATGCACGTTGAACCCACTTTAAATTCTTACTTTATTAAAGGACCACTATAGTGCCAGGAAAACATACTCGTTTTCCTGGCACTATAGTGCCCTGAGGGTGTCCCCACCCTCAGGGACCCCCTCCCGCCCGGCTCTGGAAGGGGGAAAGGGGTAAAAACTTACCTTTTTCCAGCGCTGGGCGGGGAGCTCTCTGCCTCATTTGCATTGATGAAGGTTTGGTGCACTTACAGCTGATTTACAGAACCAAAATGGCACCAGGCATGGTTGCCCTCTCTCACCCGTTGTTTGCGTTGCCTCTGGAACCGCTTCTGGATATGATACGCAGCAACACGGATATTCAGGGTTATGCATGGAAAGGGGTAGAGCATAAGGTCGCTGCCTACGCCGATGACCTTCTCTTTTTTCTATCACGCACACGGGTTACCTTACCTTGCCTGTTGTTGGAGTTTGAGAAATAACGTTTTTTATCTGGTTTTAAACTAAATCTTTCCAATTTTGAGGTGCTGAATGTCACCCTCCCTGCAGAAGAATACACAGCTCTTGATCCGCTTTTTCCGTTCCATTGATGTTAAGGAAAGATCAACTAGGTAAGATGTTCTCAGCTACACTTGTGGCAATACAAAAGCTCTATAAGCTCATACTATCAAGTAGTGAATTATAAGCATCTTTCTTTGTGATACAGGACTCCGGGTCCTTCTACATCAGGGGTTCTCAACCCGGTCCTCAGGACCCCCTACCAGTCCATGATTTGGGGATTACCTGGGTGTGTCTCAGGTGTTTAGAAAAAGGGGGAAAAAACACCTTAGATTCTAAGGTGTTTTTTTTTTTCTTTCTAAACACCTTAGACACACCCAGGTAATCCCCAAATCATGGACTGGTAGGGGGTCCTGAGGACTAACGTCGAGAACCCCTGTTCTACATAGAATCTTTCCTACAGTCCTTTGCTACACATTGGGTGGGAATGCCCTAAAATAGCCACCTTTTGGGTAAAGAGATGTACGGACTGAAATTTTAGGAAACTACGCTTCATGGAGTGCTGAACTAGTTCTGCTACACATGACTGATACTCCTATCTCCTCGTATAAGAATTCCATTCTATGACAAATGCTTAATGCAGCTAAGGCTTTGATCTCCGCCCTGTGGAAAACAGACAGGATATCTGTTAAAGACTAGTGGTTACAGTAGGTTGAGGAAATATAGATCACAGAGGATTCAAATGTTGCTTTTGTAGGCACAAGCAACAAACATGTAGAACGTTGGCTACCCTGGTTCACGTTTCTGGCAGAGCAAGTGGATTAAAAAGACAAGTTCAATGAGTGGCATACGTGTCCCTTTTTTTTCTCTCTTCCTCCCCTCTCTCTAACTTCTTCTCATTAGACACTCTAATGGAGCACACCCACTTTGTAGAATCTCCCGGGTGCTAAACCTGGACATCATGTATTCCCTGTGGCAAGTGTTTGCTTCATTTTGACGTGCCGCGCCATAGTCCGCACTATCCATATCTCATTATACACACGTACACAGGATATGGTTATGAGTGATGCACCCTGATATGACTCAATGCAACGACCGCTGACAAGGTGCACATGGGTCAATTAATGTTACTAGTGTAATTGCGTCTGTTTCCTTTTGTACTATATTTGACACAATGTTTTTTCTTATGCTGCTTTTGCAATAGAGACCTGTGAGTCTTACTTTGAGCCCTTTCCTATTCTGTATAACAAGAAGAAAAAAAAAAACCCTTTGCATAAAAACTGATTTTCAAAAAAATAAAAAAAAAATTCCAGTTTAGTACATAAATTCTTCTCAATAGAACATGCTAATTCTGCAGCCGTATATTCAGAAATTAGGTGATGGGCGAGTTCTTGCAGACAATGCGGGTTTTCCCATTGCTTGCTGTAAGGAGGCATGGGAGTAGGGTCCAGGTATTTTGTTCAATATCATCTTACAGTCACCATGCAAAACAAACAAACCCAGAAAACTGATTTTTTTTTTTTTATGATGTATCAGGTGCACTGCAAGCTTTCTTTTCAAAAGTAAACCGACAATATATTACTAATCTCAGGGCATCCATGCATTCATTTTCAAACAATACACAAGAGTAAAAGTTATCAATTTTTCCTCAATTTTTATTTATAAATTAAGTAGACGGGTAAATAAAGGCGTATAAAAAGAAAAATACAAAAATATTTTACAACTGATGCAAAAATATATATAAAAAAAGTTAGAGAAACAAAATACACAGAGACAAGCTATTAATCATCACCATCATCATCTTCTTCCTCATCCTCCTCATCTTCTTCTTCGTCGTCATCATCATCGTCCTCCTCCTCATCTTCATCATCATCATCATCATCATCAGCTCCTTCCTCTTCTTTCTTTAACATCTCCAAGTACTCGCTAGCCAGTATTTTCTTTGGCAGAATATCTGAAAGAAAAACATTTTTGTGGATTGTTCCACTTTTAGAACTTTTCACCACAACTGCATTTCAATAATAAACCCCAAAAGGTGCCAGACTACTTCTTTATAGCATAACTAAAGTGGACTTCACATGTCCAATCAAACCACTCTAACATCTTCCGGACACTGCCTGGAGGACATTGCAGGGGATACCGTGTTATGAGCTATGGGTGAATTAGTTATTTGATCACTACATCAACTAAGTCCTACTAGAAACAACACTACCATAGCCACATGTAGTACCTGCTTTCCATGATGGCCAGTAAAATCACCGACTGGGTATGCAGTAATTGAAAAACAAACAATTTAATTCTACCAGACAACCAAAGGAAAAGGTTAATTGTATAGGAATATCATATTATTTAAAGGACTACTGCACACCTATAAACCACTTCAACTTGCCATGAGCGTTATGGTTAAAGGGTATCAGATTTTAATTACGGTTTATAAAAATGAACTACTTTTATCATTAAATTACTAACTCCTGTCTGGCTGGACAGCCAGGGACTTTTGCTTCCTACCTCCGTAAGCTCAACTTGAGTGTACCTGACTTCTCCACCATTCCTCCTCACAAACTGGCGTTCTTCCTGAATGCTGTTGCAGTGTGCGCACTAACAGACGTGCTTGTACAGAGTGACAGATTCAGGGGCTTCTTGTTGAGAATCCTCTTATTGGTTATTTCCCAATGAAGAGAATTGAAGTCTTTTCCAGGGAATGTTTGGAACTGCAGCTTTTGCAAGATCTCCTAGGATATACCAACAAAGACAACATGCAGCAAAAAACGCATGCGTGTTTTTATTGGTGGTTAATCTACTAAATATTGATCCCCACATTCTATTTCTGGAGTGGAGTGTTCCTTTAAAGGCATATTTAGGCTTTACTAATTTCTAACAATGTGATTATGAACCCCAGAAGGATACTGCAAATGGAACACTAATCGCTGAGCTATCTCACTGGCAATTAAATCTACGAGCCTTTACAGGAGACCACTTTGATGTCAGAGAGTATTTTGTCAAACAGTCTGTAAAATGCAAAAATACAGTGGAATGGGAAAAAGGAAACTTGCTATGAATAATAAGTTGGTGTTACTTTAAGGAGAATAATGTCCTCTATACATTGTGCTAGGGGGAATTGCAAAATGAAAACATTAAACATTTTTTTTTTTTTTTTATCTTCTTAGGCTTCTGTCCCTTTGAAGGTAGTCTATGCCTATAGATGTGTCTTTTGGCATAGAACCACACAATTAGTGAGCAAAAGATTCACTCTAATTTTGGACCAGCTTGGCACTGGATAATAGTTTATCAACAATATAATATGGAAATTGAAGAAAAACTAAATAAAACATGGTTTACTTGTCTACTAGCGTAAGATTATAAAAAGGGGAAGTACAAGCGCTTCTGTATAAAATTTAAGATTGGAATTATATCGAACAAATTTGATGTGAGCTGCTATATCACCGTGCTTATCTTTCTATAAGAAAATCGTGGAAAAGTGAGAAGTATCGGTGTAGCGCTCTATACTAGTGGATGTGAAAAGAAAACGAATAAAGGAAAACCTTGCTGTACCTTGATGAATAATATATACTAATGGATAATCCAGAGTAGTCAGATATACCTTAAATACAAAACACAAATATACAGAACATAGTGTTACCTGTATACAAAATGTAAATAAAAATAAGATTATGTTAAAAGTGATTGTAACTCTGAATCCGAGTAGTATCTTTAAAGGATCACTATAATGTCAGGAAAACAAAGCGGTTTTCCTGACACTATAGTGCACTGAGGGTGCCCCCAACCTCAGGGTCCCTCCTCCCGTGGCGTTAAAACCCCTTCAGCAGCTTACCTTAATCCAGCGACAGGCTCCCTCGGCGCTGGTGACTCCAACGTCAGCTCCCCCGTCCGACATCACAGGAGCCGCGCGCGCATTCAAACTGTCCATAGGAAAGCATTTCTCAATGCTTTCCTATGGACGCTTTGCGCGATGGAGGCATAATATGCCTCCAGCGTCTCAGATGCGCCTCTAATGGCTGTCCGGAAGACAGCCACTAGAGGCTGGCTGAACCCCAAATGTAAACATAGCAGTTTCTCTGAAACTAGTGGTCCTTTAACCTAGTGTTTTTGCAAGAATTTATCTCCGCCCACAACGTACCAGACAGAAACTGAAATGTTTCCGATTCTTCTGCAGTTTCCGACAAGTCGTCATAGGTCAGCGTATTCGACTCTTTACCAGTACCGTGTTTATACGAGTATGATGCCAGGTACTTGACAAACAACTCCTGTATGGTGATAGGAAAGAAGAATATTATGTCACAGAGAACAATACATTTTGGTAATGCAGGCAAATAAAAAAAATGAAAAAAAGTTCAGACTCAGGGGCACAAATATACAATATCTATAAACAGCATGTAAGTTTTTTGCAGAGTGTGTAATATATTTGAAATGTTTGTGTAAATTGTTTTAATTTCTAGAAAGTAACAAAAATAAAATGTGTTGAAATAAACTGTGAAGACCTGACAAAACATAATAAACAGTAAAGCTATAATCTCATCCTTTGTTATCTTCCTTTTTTCTACCCGTACTCCACAACAGTTGTCCAGTTTCCGCTTCCATATTTATTCTAGTGTGCCCTCTCCTCAAAAGCCCCCCTTTTTGGCTCCTGGTTCCGCACCATGACTTTTCCTCCAGATCCTCCCATCACTATCCATCTACTTTCCTACTGGTCCTCCCATGACACATCACCAACTTTACTCCTGGTCACATTAACAGTCCATCATGACCATTTCTCCTGGTTCCCTATCACAATTTCTCCTGAATCTATCAGTATTACTCCTGGTTCCCCTTATCACCATCGCCCTTGTATCCTCCACATCACCATTCCATCCTGGATCCCCCCCATCACCATTCCACCCTGGATCCCCCCCATCACCATTCCACCCTGGATCCCCCCCATCATGACCAGTTCCCCGGGTCCCCATCTCCTTTGTTCCTGATTCTATCCATGATTATTACTCCTGGATCCCCCTCATCGCCATCTCCCCTGATTCCCCATCACCATCTCCTGGATCTCCCCATCACCCCTGGATCCTCTCTCCCCTCCCCATCTCCCCTGGATCCTCTCTCCCCATCTCCCTGGATCCTCTCTCCCCATCTCCTGGATCTCCCTTCATCAGCCCTGGATCTCCCCTTCCCCATCACCCCTGGATCTCCCCTTCCCCCATCACCCCTGGATCTCCCTTCCCCATCACCCTGGATCTCCCCATCACCCCTGGATCCTCTCCCCTCTCTTATCACCATCTCCCCTGGTCCCCCCCTCTTATCACCATCTCCCCTGGTCCCCCTCTCTCATCACTATCTCCCCTGGTCCCCCCTCTCTCATCACTATCTCACCCTGGTCCCCCCTCTCATCACTATCTCACCTGGTCCCCCCTCTCTCATCACTATCTCCACCCTGGTCCCCTCTCTCATCACTATCTCCACCCTGGTCCCCCCTCTCATCACTATCTCCACCCTGTCACTATCTCCACCCTGGTCCCCCCTCTCTCATCACTATCTCACCCTGGTCCCCCCCTCTCTCATCACTATCTCCACCTGGTCCCCCTCTCTCATCACTATCTCACCCTGGTCCCCCCTCTCTCATCACTATCTCCACCCTGGTCCCCCCTCTCTCATCACTATCCTCCACCCTGGTCCCCCCCCTCTCATCCTATCTCCCCTGGTCCCCTCTCTCACTATTTCCTTGGTCCCCCTCTCACTATCTCCCCCTGGATGCCCCTCTCTCACTATCTCCCCCCTGGTCCCCCTCTCACTAGATGCTCCTCCTTCCCGGCATGCCCCGCTCACCGTGGCTTTGGCAGTGATAATGAGGGCGTCCTGGTTGATGTTGGCCACGTCTGGCGAGCTCTTCATTATCACCCGAATGCGAGACAGCGGCAGCAACACGAGCCTGCTCTCCGAGGCCGCCATCTTTCACTCTGTCCGCCTCACACAGAGACCAATAAAGCTGGCTGGATATCGCAAACTACAACTCCCGACAGCCTCTGCGCCCGTGTCCCTGGCTGAACCCATAAACAGAATGAGGCCAATACTGTCTGCTACTGTTATATAATGCACCATGTAAATAATTAGAATGCAATTAAACTAATAACAATATAAAGCGCTGGGGAATGTGATGGAGCCATATAAATAACAATAATAATAATAATAATAATAACATAATAATAACAACATAATAATAATATAATATAATAACATAATAATAATATAATAATAATAATATAATAACATAATAATAATAATAATAATATAATAATATAATAATAACAACAACATAATAATAATAATAATAATAATATAATAATATAATAACATAATAATAATAATATAATAAGAATAACATAATAATAATAATAATAATAACAACATAATAATAATATAATAATATAATAATAATAATATAATAATAATAATAATAATAATAATATAAAGCGCTGGGGAATGTGATGGCGCAATAATAATAATAATAATAATAATAAATAATAATAATAACATAATAATAATATAATAATAATAAAATAATAATAATATAATAATAATATAATATAATAATAATAATAATAATATAATAATAATATAATAATAATAACATAATAATAACAACATAATTATAACATAATAATAATAATAATAACAACATAATAATAATATAATAATAATATAATAATAACATAATAATAATAATAATAATAACATAATAATAAAATAATAATAATATAATAATAATAACATAATAATAATAATAACATAATAATAATAATAATATAATAATAATATAATAATAAATAATAATAACATAATAATAATAACAACATAATTATAACATAATAATAATAATAATAACAACATAATAATAATATAATAATAATATAATAAAATAATAATAATAATAATAATATAATAACATAATAATAATAATATGAATAATAATAATAATAACATAATAATAACATAATAATAATAATAACATAATAATAAAAATAATAATAATATATGTAATAACATAATAATAATAATAATAATAATATAATATAATTATAATAATAATATAATAATAATAACATAATAATAATAATATAATATGTAACATAATTATAATAATATAATTATAATAACATAATAATAATAATAATAATAATATAATAATAATTATAATAATAACAATAATAACATAATAATAACATAATATATAATAACATAATAATAGAATAATAATAACATAATAATAATAACATAATAATAATATAATAATAATAACATAATAATAATAATAATATAATAATAATAACATAATAACATAATAATAATAATAATAATAATAATAATATAATAATAATAATAACATAATAATAACATAATAATAATAACATAATAATAGAATAATAATAACATAATAATAATAACATAATAATAATGTAATAATAACATAATAATAATAACATAATAATACAATAATAATAATATAATAATAACATAATAATATAATAATAACAATAATGGTCTTTCTAAAGATACCATTATTTTCATCATATCATGTAATTTGCTATAACAAAATTATTAAATATGATGAACATTTTTTTAAAAGAATTTCAAGTAGAAAAGGAAAGAGCACTATCCTATGTTTAAATTAGTCGTAAAATATAACTTTTAATATTGAAATAAATATAAAAAAGGTGAGAAAAATAATTGATAAAATAGACACCAATTATTAACAGAAACTTAAATGTATAATAAGGGGAATTTGAAAGGATGTCAATGTACACAGATCGTGAAAAAGGATGTCCTCACTTGTGAATTAAAGTTTCAAATAGTAGAACAATATATATAGATTTTGATTAAGTAACTAATTGATTTTTGGACCCTATCTTTAAAGCATACTAGCACTAATAGTAACTTAAATCTGCAACATTTGTGCAACTAGAAACAGACCTGTGAAAACTTTGAAAAGGAAATAGAATATTGCTGTCTTGCATTCTATATTAAACAAATAATCAAATTCTTTCTTGGAAATTATATATTTTTCCATCCCAGTCTTTAGAGTCTTTAGATCCTGTAAATATAACTGTGTGGGATCTTTTTTTTTTTTAATTTTTTAAGTATTATTGTCTTCCAAAATCCTAAGGGCCTCTGTCATATAAAATAGTTTTATATAATTTCCAAGGAAGAATTTGATTATTTGTTTAATATAGAATGCAAGACAGCAATATTCTATTTCCTCCCAAAAATCCATAAGGATCTGATCAACCCCCCAGGCCTTCCCATCATTAGTGGAAATTATTCTTTATCCTCTAGGCTATCTGAGTATGTCAATTTTTTCTTCAACTTTATGTACATCAAAGACACCAGACATATACTACATGATCTTCAAAAAATATAAGGGAAATCAACCTATAGTATGGCTACAGTAGACGTATCCTCCATTAGCATCCCTCATTGTAAAAGATTAGAGGCTATTAAAGACATTCTAGTTTCAAAGCAACAATTGAATATATGCCAAATAAACTTTTTAATTGATTGTATCAATTTTGTATTAACTAAGAACTATTTTTGGTTTGATTCCACTTTTTTTCTGCAGTTATGTGGCATTGCCATAGGGACAAGATTTGACCCGAGCTTTGCCAACCTCTATATGTCCCTCTGGGAAACCACGGTGATTACTGTGGGTGAGCGGCCGGGGGAGGTCTTGTCCTATGGCGACGCTACATTGATGATGTTCTAATCATATGGAAAGGTCAATCAGAGGGATTAATTTCCTTCATAGAAAGTATCAATTGCAATAATTATGATTTACATTTTACATCAGTAATACATCCTACACAGATTGACTTTCTGGACCTTACTCTTTATGTTGAGGGAGGACAACTTTAAAGCAAAACTTTTTTCAAGAGCACGGACTGTAACACGGCTATCAATAAATCTAGTCTATATTACGGTCCATGGCTCACAAATGTCCCCAAGGGACAAATGATGCGCTTAAGATGCAATTGCACAGACTTACAAATATTTGAAGAACAAAATCAGATCATTAAAAAAAGATAGTATGAAAAAGGTTATGATCTGAATAAAATGAATATAGATGAGGAACAGATAAAAAGTCTAGAAAGACCATCGCTACTAACTAACCATAATAAGACTGTAGGTGATCCCTAGCAAAATGAGCTATGGGAGTACCAAACAAGAAAAGGGATCTATGGGTATGCACTTATGTAAATTAAAAACCTTTATTGTAGGGTTTTAGTTCCCCAAAAAGAGAAAAAAGGAAACTTAAAAAACCATCACATCTAAAAAACACACAGGGAAGAACTCCGTCGGTAAATAAATAGGGCAGGATAAAGTGATACGGATTTATGTGCTCACTGGGTGGGGGAAGCGAAATTTATTTAAGTCGATGGAGCATTAGGTCTATTTAGACGTTTATGCATTAGATTACAGGCAGTTATGCACTCTTCTGTTTAGAGGACCCGGTTACATTTGTAACAGTTTTTACTGCTACATTGATAGATATAGTCGTATTGCTTATACGCTCTATGATTTGTTCAGAGACCTGGGAATAGGATAGATTGTATACCTCTGTATCCAGTTATCTCTAACAGGAAGTTTTAGTGTTTACTGAAGACAGATTAGTTTAAGCATTTTTACAAAATCAGTATCACTTTATCCTGCCCTATTTATTTACCGACGGAGTTCTTCCCTGTGTGTTTTTTAGATGTGATAGTTTTTTAAGTTTCCTTTTTTCTCTTTTTGGGGAACTAAAACCCTACAATAAAGGTTTTTAATTTACATAAGTGCATACCCATAGATCCCTTTTCTTGTTTGGTACTCCCATAGCTCATTTTGCTAGGGATCACCTACAGTCTTAAGGGTTATCCCCTATAAGGTTCTATGGACACACTGTAGATTCCGCCCATTAGGAATCTTACACTCTTCTAACTAACCATAATAAAATACAAAAAAGCAGGAATAACAACAGATTTGAATATGCTTTTATTACAAAGTTCAGTTCCCAGGCCAAAAAAGTGGAAAACATTCTGAAAAAACATTAGCACATACTAAAGAAAGACGATGTATTGGGAAAAGTCATCCCAGAAAAACCAATGGTTATATACAAAAAGGCGGAAAAAAACAAAAAAAACAGTTAGCACCCAGTTTACTACGCAGTAAAAAAATTGATTCCAATTTTTTTAACCTTATGGGTTTCTACAGCTGTGGCAAATGTTCTACTTGTAAATTTCAAAAAAGAAATACACATGACTTCAGAGGTACATACACTAATAAAAAATATGAAATTAAAAAGTTTATTCAATGCTCCACCACGTTTGTTATTTATCTTTTACAATGTGGTTGTGGAGCAGAATACATAGGCCGTACAATACAAAAATTACATACTAGAAAATAAGGGCCTTATCTCATGGTATGGTGGCAGTGGGAGGTGATCTCAATGCCATCCCATGTCCTGCCGCGGACAGAAGCTCCAGGGAGGGTCAGCTGAGATCACAGAGCAGAGGGAGCCAAGATAAACTGCTTCACAAATTCATCAAAGATACAGCCTTGGTGGATGTATGGTGGGCGCAACATCCTAGTGACTTCAAGTTTTATTCCGCCCCTCATGGGACCTACTCCAGGATCGACTGCTTCCAAAAAAACAACATAAGCATGGTGAGGGCGATGGAATCCAAGATAGGATCCATAACAGATCACATAGATATTTCCTTAACCTTGGGGAATCTCTGTATAGCATCCCCATGGAACTGGAGGCTAAGCTCCGGCTTGTTTCGTGACAAGGACACTCGAGCTGAAATAAGAAAAGACATTAGAGAGTATTTCCTCATGAATGAAACAGAAGACTTATCCCCAAGCATCATCTGAGAGGCCCACAAGGCGGTGATTAGAGGAACATGTATCAAACTAGCAACAAGGAAAAAAACAC